GCAACGGAAGAGGCCACAACAGTGAGAGGCCCGTGTACCACCAAAAAAAAAAAAAAAAATAGTAAGTGCTTACAAATTAACTATAAAAGAAGCTAGACAAAATGACTTTCAGGTTCAAATGAACTGGGAAATATCCAATATTAAGTTGATACCTGGTATTAAAGTTAGTTTGTTTGTTGATCTAATTAATATAGACATGTCTTTAGAGTCATCAGCATTAAGTATAATACTATTATTGTACTAGATTTAATAGAAGTCAAACAAGACCTTATTATATCTGTTGCAAATTTGTCAGCAAGGAAAACAGCTTGATATGATGAAACTTTAAATGTAAATGAGATAAGAGCTTTTGAGTAAATTCTTTTTTTTTTTTTTTTTTTTGGGGTACGCGGGCCTCTCACTGCTGTGGCCTCACCCCTTGCAGAGCACAGGTTCCGGACGCTCAGGCTCAGCGGCCATGGCTCACGGGCCCAGCCGCTCTGCAGCATGTGGGATCTTCCCGGGCCGGGGCACGAACCCGTGTCCCCCGCACTGGCAGGCGGACTCTCAACCACTGCGCCACCAGGGAAGCCCTGAGTAAATTCTTTAAAGAGTAAACTCTTTAAAAATAATTATGTTTTAGAAATATCTACTTAAAATGATCTCTCCAAATATTTTATAACTTAAAATTCTAGACTTGTGCTAATTTAAGTTAAATGATGGAAGTCTGTTGAATAGCTAGGTCATTTCCAAAGAAATAAGATACTGAGACATCAATTACTAAACAGAGAAACTAAAGGTATTTAGGACTATTAATGAATATGTTTGGTACCAAACTGAGATATTCTCTATCAGAAAGCAAATGGTTTTAGAAATTATCACTGATATTCATGTTCACCAATCTACAGAATGCTAGTGTAAAAGACAGTTCATAATTGCTTACTTCTTAATTTTCACTAGAAATTAAGGTTTCTTAACAGCTGAGGATTCTATTTTAAATATGTCATAAACGCCAATAGAATTAATAAAACATTTCAATAGGAAAGTAAAATGCATGTTTTCAGTAAAGGAGCTATAAGGAATGAAATTACATTTTATTAAGGGAAAAGATAGTAATTTTGTCTTAGAGATGGTTGGTTTTGGATGGAAAAATAAGGGACAAACTAACATGGATACAAAAAGTGATGAAAGGTTGTGGAAAGGAACCCCAAGAAAAAAGTTTAATGCATGAATTAGCTAAATTTAGATTGAATTTAATTAAGTAAATGGATTTTGTTTTTAAGTAAGCTAGTACAAGACTGGATTTTTATTTCTCTCTCTGTTAAGAGAACAACATTTCTTAGAGTGCTCCTTTTTGATAACAGATTTTGTGAGTTTCTGTGCCCTTAAGTGATTTTTTTTTAATCTTTTTGTGACTTTGATTAAATGAGTAAGTATTGTTTCACAGCGACCTATGATCCTATTGTGTTTTAAAACCTTTTTGATACATTTAATAAACTTTCCAAAATATCCAATTCTAACTAAAGTTCTTTTAGCCTCCAGCTAACTCTGGGATGTTTCCAAGGAACCCTGAGACATCTCAGAAAAGAATGTTAAACTAATTACGCTTCTTTGGTATGTTAAATTACTTGAGAAACATTGAGGTTGCAGATGAACCTTAGGTTATAGTGTATGGATAAATGTCATTGATATAGATATTCCAAAATTTATATATAATTCCTAACATCTGATATGCCCTGATAAAATGTTATAATTCTAGTTATTATCTTAATGTATTACATGTCACAGAAATGTCCAAGTTTCTTACCAATTGCATTGTACTCAAACCTTTAACCATGCCATTTTAAGTTTTGCCCTTTATAGACAGTCATTATTTTACTCTGATGCTTTTACAAAATAATGATCCTCAAGAAGGCTCATAAAAGAAATTTTTTGACAAATATAAGTTTCTGAGAGCCTCTAGATAATCCACTGAACAGGGTAACAAATGACAAAACTCTAATTGAAAACCTGATGACTTCATCCAGGTCAACAGGAATTAATTACAAGGGATTGAATGAGCTGATAAATATGATTTATAACTTTATGACTTCTGGGGAGAAATATACCAGCTTTAATCTTTGTTTTCCAGAAAAATACTTTTCTCTTATGCTGTGACCTATAAGAATTTGATAAAGTATAACTTTGTAAACAAAGAGGAAACATTTATCTTTTCCTCTCTATCTGATCCGTCCAGAATTTGGCTTCTCCAGCTAGCTCTCCTGTGGACTTGATGGTTAACTGCAACCAGATTACAACTAGTTATACTAATCATTGTTTTAATTTATTCTTTGTTTCCAAATTGCTTATGCTTTCTGTCTCTCTGCTGCACTATGAATTTGTCAAGGTTACTAGCTTATATCCTGTCTATTTTATAAGATCATTGTCTCTTACAGTACCCAATGTGCAACCAGACCTCCAAAAAAATTGATGATGGCTAAACATCTTGAGGAAATAGATCACACTTATGACTCTTATAGAATAATTGTAATAGTGTGATTCTAGGCATGGAAAGAAACAACAGGGAAAAACATGTCCTGGATCACAATAGACTAGTAAGAGAGAGGATCCAGAGAATTTTAAATTATCAACAGGGCCTAATCCAGAAATCAGTACCTGGAGTTGGCATATCAACAAGAATCTTTGCCTAATCTGGGAAGAGTCTCCCAGTGCCATGGGACAAAATTGGTCATGAAATGCCTCCCAAACATTGGTTGAATTTATGACCATGAGGGGCACTGTGGACTAAATGCTGCCTGCCATATCAGTAAACAAAAGGTGTCACAGCCATCAGTGATTGCAGCCACCCCCAATGGTGAGCTCCAAGAGAACTCAGGCTGGAAATAAGATATGCCTGCCATCTAGCTGTCATCAGATTGCAGCCACCCACAATGGTGCAGCTTGAGGAAACTCAGGATTAGGATACACAAGATGCTGGCCCCAGATAGCTGAGGTGCATATCAAAGGAATGATTTTAGTGACCCCAGACTCTTGCATCTTCCCATACATAGAATAGCACTAAATTATTTAACTTGAGATATCTGGTTTTCTTTAATTAACAATAATCTTTTGACATTCTGACTGTCTGCCCTTTGTTGTAAAAACTGCCGCCATCATTATTCCCCTTAGTCCCAAGCCCTACAGCTACAGAACCTGAAATTCTTCACTCAGGGAATTAGATTAGAGTCAACTTTTTTCCGTGTCTGCTGATGCTGTGGACCACTCTCACATGGCCCCTATTTCTGAGGCCCACTGAAACCCAGTCTAGGTCATCCGTGAATGTTCACAAGTTATCTCTTGAAGCCTGGAATTTTCTACTGCTCCTATTTATTTTGATTCTAGAGCTCATAATAACAATTCAGCTCTGGGTGAATATGCTGAGTTTGGTTTTCTCCTAGAATCTCTCCTAGCCATGTGAGGTAGGAGATAAATTTGGCTAAGGCTTTCAGAGACCCTCCTAGCTTCCAGCACCCACCTGCCCAATCTAGAGGAACAATAACCAGTACAACAGAGCCCAAGTGTAAGGTTGGTCACCTACAGGGAATATTATGTGAGCATGCCCCCTGAAGCCCTGAGTCTGCAGCATCCCCGCACACAGCAGTAGATAATAAATCTAAAGATTTAGTCCAATATTTCCCCTTACAATAATGATATAATAGTGCCCTGTAAGTGACAACTAAACTAACTGTGTCCCAGAGGCTGTGATGTGAACTCAGAGTCTGATGAGCCTTTCTCTTTTTTTCCAGTGAAAATGAGATGGTGATCTGATGCCTGAGGCCTACATATCTGGTTAAGTAGGACAAGTGCTATCTTTTTTTTTTTTTTTTTTTTTCCGGTACACGGGCCTCTCACTGCTGTGGCCTCTCCCGTCGTGGAGCACAGGCTCCGGACGCGCAGGCTCAGCGGCCATGGCTCACGGGCCCAGCCGCTCCGCGGCATGTGGGATCTTCCTGGACTGGGGCACAAACCCGTGTCCCCTGCATCGGCAAGCGGACTCTCAACCACTGCGACACCAGGCAAGCCCGACAAGTGTTATCTTAATGAGCCAATTGTTCGTGTCTTTCAGAGTTCATTATGTTTATTTTTCCTCCACAAAGACCTTCTCTGTTCTTTTTTCTTCTAATAGTGATAAAATTAACATACCATAAAAATTCATCCATTTCAAATTAATAAGCTAGTGTTTTTCAGTATATTTACAGAGTTCTACAGTAATCACCACAATCTCATTTTAGAACACTTTCACCACACCAAAAGGAAAACTTGTGCTCATTTGCAGTCCTTCCCTCTTCCCATCCTCATCCATATCATAGACAACCATTAACCTACCCTCTATCTTTATAGATTTGCTTATTCTAAACATTTCATATACATAGAATTGCAAGGTCTGATCTTTTTTGTCTGGCTTCTTTCACTTTTAGGATTCATACATGTTTTAGCATGCATCAGTATTTTGGTCCTTTTTATGGCCAAATAGTGTTCTGGTGTATGGATATACAATATTTTATTTATCCTTTTATCCCCTCATGCTCTTTTGGCACACAACTATTTATGAACTGAGACTTCAATGCAGTCAATACCTATAGCCCTTTGATCCGTTCCAAAATTTGACTTTCAGGACATTGAAAATATTAGTGTTGTCCTTATATGGAAAGGTAATAAGGGTATTCCAGACTCATTTTTGCCAGAGAGCTGTGATTCCTTTTAACCTCTGCAATATTCCTGTTAGTTTATAGTACTTGATAGTCAGCACCTTCCATGGCCTATGAGGGTAAGTAGTTGTGAGTTACTTTGAAAAAAAAATCTGACACTGTTTCTATACCTGGTATTTCATGTGTCCTTAATCCAGTCTTTTCTTGATTGTCTTCTGAGAATCACTCCCAGGCCAATACTTAACAAATGGATATCTGAGATCTCTGATGTGCTGTTTCTGGGCCATATGCTGTATTTCTAAGTAGCACCCTATCTGGCCAAGATGGTATCACTTCTAAAAATGACCTAAAAAATATCAATCTAAAAAAGTCAATCTAGAATTTCCCACATTTTCTAACATATACCAGAATCTTATTCATTTTTATATTCTATTCTCCTAACAGTCTGAAAACCTGACATAACTGGTCCTCAAGAAAACAGTTTTATATCATCCATGGAAGCTCCTATAGTATTAAAATGGTTAAGGATGTAATTCTATCTCAGCCTTATACTAGTATATTCTGATAAAGCCCTACCTTGCATATTTAAGACAGGCCTCTCATTCAGCTTTATTAGATTTTGTCTCAAAGCAAGACCCCACTATTCTTGAGAAAGAACATCCACCCTTGTTCTTATCACTGTAGTTCCCTAACAAGATCGACTATTTGGCCAGTAATCCTGAAATTATCTGTGCATGGTGGAAAAAATACATGATTCCACCAGTAATATATATCCTAAAGTTTTTTCAGCTTACTTAAGCTAACAAATGACTATAATTTGTAAGAAAATATTTATCAAAATGTTAAGAACTACGTAATGGTTCTTTCCTACTATTGATACAGCTTCAGTTTGGATCTGAAGCCAAATTATTAAACAACTGTATCTGTTTTATGGCACACTGAGATTTTTTAGTGACAAATGAGTAAAGTGGACTCTAAGAAAAAAATATTTGAGTGGTTTATGCTTCAGTTCACTATTTTCTAAGGACTGTGTTAAAACAGGAAACTGTCTTTCCAAAACAAAGTCATTGGCAGCACCAGTATTCATCATGGAACCAGCTAAGGCTCAGCTCTACCTGTGTAGTATGATATAGTTGATACATATAAAAGCAAGCTTAATTGCCTTAACTTAAAAGTGAGGAGGAAAATGTCTCGCTCTGGCATTTATGCTAGAACTGATGAGAAGAAAGTTTGATGGATAGAGTTTTAGGGTGACAAGAGACAAAGGTTTCAGACACTGGGTTTTACTCTCATGTCAAAAATGACTGAGATAGATGACATTGCTTAGATCCTCATTGTATCTCAATGAAAAGCTTGGGCACTGTAATGGAAAACTGCAAGGCCACCAAAGTGCAGACTTTTCTTATGAGGGCAATGATTTTAATGATTTTTAGCTATGACTAAAATCTAACAACAATCAAAAGAAAGTCCCAAGGGGTGAATTCTCTTCCTTCAATGTTGCTGAACAATAGTGGTAACACTTTGGATGCTTGAGAGATGATAAATGACCAAAGTTCTTTCAGCATTGTAACTTTTCAAAGCCATTTCTGACATCAGAAAAATCAAAACATGGAAAGGAAGCCTAAAAATAGCAAATGTTCTAAAAGACACTCTAAAAAAATACTAGGAGACTGAGCAGCTGCAATCATAATATAATACATAAAGAACAGTGGCCCTGCTCTTATCATCCAATTTCTCAAGGCTCCACAAAAATCCTAACCCAACCCCTCTACCACTGATATACACACCCCTCGCCCTGCTTCCTATCACCTCTGGTTCCAAAAATAAAAAAATAGTGTTATAAAGGAGAAGGTCAGCCTTCATTCATAAATGGCTTTGGTCATCTTATTTGAGACTCAGTTTCCTAATCTTCTTTAATTAAATAATGAATAATGATAAGTTTTATAATAAAAACCATTACACACTAACAGGCTTTGAAGGTGAAAATTGATGGCATTACCTTATTTGTTTCTTTTTTCTTAAGTATGATTTTAGATATTGTTATGAATACTATTTTACAAATGAGGAAATGGAGTTTCTGAATGGTTAAGTAACTTGCCTAGGGTTATTCTGTTAGTAAATGACAGAACTGTAATTTGAGCCCAAGTGTCCTGACTCCCTGATTGTTCTGCTAACTGACATCTCCTAGTTTTACATGAATTTTGCTGACAGCATATTTGATACACTAGCCTCATAGTAGGTGTTCAATAAATGTTTATGTTTCCCTTTTTGCCTCTTTGGTGAATCAAATCTTCCCCTTCTCACCTAGATCCTTGTTAGGGTCCTGTATGTTCTGAAGATCCTACTGAAAAGAAACTTAAACAATTGTTTGCAAAACAAACTATGTTTCACAACTATTGGGAGCAAATTGCTAAAGGATTAGCATTGTTTTTTCTTAAAGAAGTCTTTACACCAAAGAATGACACCCTGCCTCTTTAACCCATTGATTTCAGCCACATGCAGCAGTGAGTGGTAGCTTGCAGTGAAGCAGCAGCTGGAAGGGAGACCTTAGTTCCCTGACTGGGAATCAAACCCTGGTTGCCTGAATGGGAACTGAGAATCTTATGCGTTAGACCATAGGGCCAACTGCTAAAATCTAAGTCCCCAGTACTTGTCTGCCTTGAAAGGAGGAATCTCACAAGGAGACAGAAGGTATAGAAGGAAGTAAAGTGTTTATTAGAAAAGCAGAGTACATGCAGAAAGACACACAGGTGAACTCAATGAGTTACTCGCAAGAGTCACACCTTTGGGAAGTTTAAATCCTTTACAAGGGGGCAGTCTTCTAGGTCTTTGTCTTCTACTTGGGCAATCGTATTGTTCTGACCCCACAGTTAATTTGTCTCAGGACCTTCCTCTGGGTGTGCACGCACCCCCCAGTAAAGATAGTCTTCATCACAAAGGCATCTGGGAGGAAGATAGCAAAACTTACTATGGTCTGGCTTCCCCTGCCTTTTTGATTCTGTGAAGCCATTTGCACATGTGTAGTGTCTCTCTCGCCCTAAGGATGGGAAATGTATGAACTCTTGACCTTTTAAAAGGGCTTAGCCCCTCTCTGTCCCTGCCATAAAAGGGACAAATATCTGGTTATCTACCCCATTCCTATTGTTGTTTCTTATATCAAAGTGAAGGTCTCAAACTGTAGACAGGAGTCAAGTCATAAATATGTTGTCCAGAGCCCATTTATCTCTTGCCTCAGGAAATGTAAACAGGGGGCTGGTAGTAAATGTCCGGCCTGCAGCCCATCTTTTTCTCACCCCAGGAAGTGTGAAAAGGAGGCCAGTTGTAAATTTCTAGCCTGGAGCACATCTACCTCCTGCCTCACCATGACACACAGTGTTAAGTAAGATGTTGGAAATTTTTTTCCAGAGAAATGTCATTGTTAGTGATAGAATATCTGAACCCTAGAATCAAGAGTTAGGAGAAAGTGGGGTAAAGTCTCTGGAGTTTGGAAGACTTTCATGACCACTGGCACTTACAGTCTATAGTTTCTCCAACCTTCAATAATATACTTGTTCTTAAATTAGTAAAAAAAATAAAATCAGACTTTTAAAAAATTTAATCTATTCTCTCCATTGTCTTATATTTTAATTTCAGCATAAGAGTCCAAGGCAAGAGTGGTCCCAAGATATAATCAACACTATATTTGAGGATTCAGGAAATGCCACATTTAAAGGAAAATGATATGTATGACCTGATGAAATATTGATTTGCTCAGTGTGTGCCTCCATCAGGACAAGACTGGACTTGAAGGAGTGGAGTGCAATAAAAAAACTGATAGCTACAACTGGATGGGTCTCCTGCAAACATGCCTCCACACACTGATCTCTCAGGTGCAAAGCCTGAATGGCTTACTTGGTAATATAAGCAGATTTTGGCAGGAAAGAGCTCTCTTTCAGGAGACACCATTTTGTTTTAACCTTAAACCAGGCATCTCCATGCTCTACTCATTTCTGGCCCAAGCACACCTTTCAAATCTTTTAATCACACGATGCTTTGCCTAACTTGCCAGCTCTTTCCATAACTTGTCAGTTCTTTCCATAGATCAAAGAAGTAGAAATGAAAAATAAGTACAGTAAGTCCCCTACATATGAATGAGTTCCATTCCGAGAATGAGTTCGTAAGTCCAATTTGTTAGTAAGTCCAACAAAATTAGCCTAGGTACCCAACTAACACAATTGGCTATATAGTACTGTACTGTAATAGACTTATAATACTTTTCACACAAATAATACATAAAAAACAAATAAACACAAAAAATAAAGAAAACATTTTTAATCCTACAGTACACTACCTTGAAAAGTAGAGTAGTACAGTACAACAGCTTGCATACAGGGGTGGCATCGAGTGAACAGGCAAGAAGAGTTACTGACTGGAGGAGGAAAAGGAGGTGGGAGATGGTGGAGCTGAAGGAACGTCAGCAATAGGAGACAGAAGCCAAGCTGAAATTTCACTGAAGCCTGACATTGATGGAATGCACCTTCGAATATTTGAAAGTTCACAACTTGAAGTTTTGTATGTAGGGGGCTTACTGTAATTAGCAGACGACCAGATCTCTTTCCTAGCTTCCCCTTCAGTAATCTCACGAACAAACTGTGTGACCAAACTGTGCGAACAAGATAACATCTTGTAGATGTTATCAGGAGGAAGATCATAAAATGTCAATGAGCTTACATGCGGTGGGGTAAGGCAACTCTGAACACCTACCTCAATGATTAACTGAGATTACTTCCCTCCTTCCCTTTAAAAGTTTCATGGCTGAGCAGAAAGAACACCTGGCTCATACCAATCAAGCCCACATGGGAAAGCCACATTGATAACTTACAGGGGGCAATCTTGACTGTCAGGATTCCAGCAGTCTACAGCAGCCTATCAGTGCATTCCCTTCACAGTGGGGAAACCTGCTTGAGAGACCATTTGCACCACTGGCATTTGCTAGAGAACTCAATCATAAATTGATGAGAAGACAGAATCTGCTGAAAAATTATTTAAAACAGATGATAGATGCTTCTGGGAAGATGGCAGAAGAGTAAGACATGGAGATCACCTTCCTCCCTGCAGATACACCAGAAATACATCTACATGTGAAACTGCTCCGATAGAACACCCACTGGATGCTGGCAGAAGACCTCACACCTCCCAAAAGGCAAGAAACCCCGCACGTACCTGGGTAGGGAAAAAGAAAAAAGAATAAACAGAGACAAAAGGATAGGGACGGGACCTGCACCAGTGGGAGGGAGCTGTGAAGGAGGAAAGGTTTCCACACACTAGGAGCCCCTTCACGGGTCAGAGACTGTGGGTGGCGGAGGGGGAAATCTTCGGAGCCGCAGAGGAGAGAACAGCAACAGAGGTGCGGAAGGCAAAGTGGAGAGATTCCCGCGCAGAGGATCGGTGCCGACCAGCACTCACCAGCCCGAGAGGCTTGTCTGCTCACCAGACAGGGCGGGCAGGGCTGGGAGTTGAGGCTCGGGATTCGGTTGGAGCGCCGGGAAAGGACTGGGTTTGGCTGCGTGAACACAGCAGGGGGTTAGTATGCCACGGCTAGCCGGGAGGGGGTCAAGGGAAAAGTCTGGACCTGCCGAAGAGGCAAGAGACTTTTTCTTCCCTCTTTGTTTCCTGGTGCGCGAGGAGAGGGGATTAAGAGCGCTGCTTAAAGGAGCTCCAGAGACGGGCGCGAGCCGTGGCTAACAGCGCGGACCCCAGAGACGGGCAAGAGACTCTAAGGCTGCTGCTGCCGCCACCAAGAAGCCAGTGTTCGAGCACAGGTCACTATCCACAACCCCCTTCCGGGAAGCCTGTGCAGCCCGCCACTGCCAGGGTCCCGGGATCCACGGACAACTCCCCCAGGAGAACGCACAGCACGCCTCAGGCTGGTGCAACGTCACGCTGGCCTCTGCCACCGCAGGCTAGCCCTGCACTCCGTGCCCCTCCCTCCCCCAAGCCTGAGTGAGCCAGAGCCCCCGAATCAGCGGCTCCTTTAACCCCGTCCTTTCTGAGCGAAGAACAGACGCCTTCCGGTGACCTACACGCAGAGGCAGGCCCAAATCCAAAGATGAGCCCCTGGGAGCTGTGAGAACAAAGAGAAAGGGAAATCTCTCGCAGCAGCCTCAGAAGCAGTGGTTTAAAGCTTCACAATCAACTTGATGTACCCTAAATCTGTGGAATACCTGAATAGACAACGAATCATCCCACACTGAGGAGGTGGAGTTGGAGAGCAAGATTTATGATTTTTTCCCCTTTCCCTCTTTTTGTGAGTGTGTATGTGTATGCTTCTGTGTGAGATTTTGTCTGTATAGCTTTGCTTCCACCATTTGTCCTAGGGTACTATCCGTCCGTTTTGGGTTTTTTTGTTTGTTTGTTTGTTTTTAATTATTTTTCTTAATAGTTATTTTTTTATTTTAATAATTTTATTACATGTTATATTACTTTACTTTATTTTACTTTATCTTCTTTCTTTCTTTTTTTTCTTCCTTCCTTCTGTCCTCCCTCCCTCCCTCTGTCCCTCCTTTCTTTCTTTCTTTCTTTCTTTCTTTCTTTCTTTCTTTCTTTCTTTCTTTCTTTCTTTCTTTCTTTCTTTCTTTCATTCTACTTTTACTAATTCTTTCCTTCTACATTTTCTCCCTTTCATTCTGAGCTGTGTGGATGAAAGGCTCTTGGCACTACAGCCAGGAGTCAGTGCTATGCCTGTGATGTGGGAGAGCCAACTTCAGGACACTGGTCCACAAGAGACGTCCCAGCTCCAAATAATATCAAATGGTGAAAACCTCCCAAAGATCTCCATCTCAACACCAGCACCCAGATTCACTCAACAACCAGCAAGCTACAGTGCTGGACATCCTATGCCAAACAACTAGCAAGACAGGAACACAACCTCATCCATTAGCAGAGATGCTGCCTAAAATCATAAGTCCACAGACACCCCAAAACACACCACCAGACGTGGACCTACCAACCAGAAAGACAAGATCCAGCCTCATCCACCAGAACACAGGCGCTAGTCCCCTCCACCAGGAAGCCTACACAACCCACTGAACTAACCTTATACACTGGGGCAGACACCAAAAACAACGGGAACTATGAACATGCAGCCTGCAAAAAGGAGACCCCAAACACAGTAAGATAAGCAAAATAGGAAGAGAGAAAAACACACAGCAGATGAGGAGCAAGATAAAAACCCACCAGACCTAACAAATGAAGAGGAAATAGGCAGTCTACCTGAAAAAGAATTCAGAATAATGATAGTAAAGATGATCCAAAATCTTGGAAATAGAATAGACAAAATGCAAGAAACATTTAAAAAGGACCTAGAAGAACTAAAGATGAAACAAACAATGATCAACAACACAATAAATGAAATGAAAAATACTCTAGATGGGATCAATAGCAGAATAACTGAGGCAGAAGAACAGAGAAGTGACCTGGAAGAAAAAAATTGTGGAGCACCTCAATACATAAGGCAAATACTAACAGTCATAAAAGGGGAAATTGACAATAACACATTCATAGTAGGGGACTTTAACACCCCACTTTCACCAATGGACAGATCATCCAAAATGAAAATAAATAAGGAAGGAGAAGTTTTAAATGATACATTAAACAGGACGGACCTAATTGATATTTATAGGACATTCCATCCAAAAACAACAGAATACACACTTTTCTCAAGTGCTCATGGAACATTCTACAGGATAGAACATATCATGGGTCACAAATCAAGCCTTGGTAAATTTAAGAAATTTTAAATTGTATCAAATATCTTTTATGACCACAACTTTATGAGTTGTGGTCGGAAAAGATATTTGATACAATTTACAGGAAAAGATCTGTAAAAAATATACAGGAAATGATCTGTAAAAAATGCAAACACATGGAGGCTAAACAATCCACTACTTAATAACGAAGTGATCACTGAAGAAATCAAAGAGAAAATAAAATAATACCTAGAAAAAAAAGACAATGGAGACACGATGACCCAAAATCTATGTGATACAGCAAAAGCAGTTCTAAGAGGGAAGTTTATAGCAATACAATACTACCTTAAGAAACAGGAAACATCTTGAATAAACAAACTAACCTAGAACCTAAAGCAATTAGAGAAAGAAGAACAAAAAAAACAAAATTAGCAGAAGAGAAGAAATCATAAAAATCAGATCAGAAATAAATGAAAAAGAAATGAAGGAGATGATAGCAAAGATCAATAAAACTAAAAGATAGTTCTTTGAGAACATAAACAAAATTGATAAGCCATTAGCCAGATTCATCAAGAAAAATAAGGGAGAAGACTCAAATCACTAGAATTAGAAATGAAAAAGGAGAGGTAACAACTGACACTGCAAAAATACAAAAGATCATGAGAGATTACTACAAGCAACTCTATGCCAATAAAATGGACAACCTGGAAGAAATGAACAAATTCTTCAAAATGCACCACCTGCCAAGACTGAATCAGGAAGAAATAGAAAATATGAACAGAACAATCACAAGCACTTAAATTGAAACTGTGATTAAAAATCTTCCAACAAACAAAAGCCCAGGACCAGATGGCTTCACAGGCGAATTCTATCAAACATTTAGAGAAGAGCTAACACCTATTTTTCTCAAACTCCTCCAAAATATAGAGGAAGGGAGGAACACTCCCAAATCCATTCTACGAGGCCACCATCACCTTGATACCAAAACCAGACATGGATGTCACAAGGAAAGAAAACTACAGGCCAATATCACTGATGAACATAGATGCAAAAATCCTCAACAAAATACTAGCAAACAGAATCCAACAGCACAATAAAAGGATCATACACCATGATCAAGTGGGGTTTATTCCAGGAATTCAAGGATTCTTCAATATACGCAAAACAATCAATGTGATAAACCATATTAACAAATTGAAGGAGAAAAAACATATGATCACCTCAATAGATGCAGAGAAGGCTTTCAACAAAATTCAACACCCATTTTTGATAAAAAACCCTGCAGAAAGTAGACATAGAGGGAACTTTCCTCAACCTAATAAAGGCCATATATGACAAATCCACAGCCAACATTGTCCTCCATGGTGAAAAACTAAAAGCATTTCTACTAAGATCAGGAACAAGACAAGGTTACCCACTCTCACCACTTTTATTCAACATAGTTTTGGATGTTTTAGCCACAGCAATCAGAGAAGAAAAGGAAGTAAAAGGAATCCAAATCGGAAATGAAGAAGTAAAGCTGTCACTGTTTGCAGATGACATGATACTCTACATAAAGAATCCTAAAGATGCTACCAGAAAAGTACTAGAACTAATCAATGAATTTGGTAAAGTGGCAGGATACAAAATTAATGCACAGAAATCTCTAGCATTCCTATACACTAATGATGAAAACTTTGAAAGTGAAATCAAGAAAACACTCCCATTTACCGTTGCAACAAGAAGAATAAAATATCTAGTTATAAATCTACCTAAGGAGACAAAAGACCTGTATGAAGAAAATTATAAGACACTGATGAAAGAAATTAAAGATGATACAAACAGATGGAGAGATATACCATGTTCTTGGATTGGAAGAATTAACATTGTGAAAATGACTCTACTACCCAAAGCAATCTACAGATTCAATGCAATCCCTATCAAACTACCACTGGTATTTTTCACAGAACTTGAACAAAAAAATTCCCAATTTGTATGGAAACATAAAAGACCCCGAATAACCAAAGAAATCTTGAAAAATGGAGCTGGAGGAATCAGGCTCCCTGACTTCAGACTATACTACAAAGCTACAGTAATCAAGACAATATTGTACTGGCACAAAAACAGAAAGATAGATCAATGGAACAGGATAGAAAGCCCAGAGATAAACCCACGCACATATGGTCACCTTATTTTTGAAAAAGGAGGCAGGAATGTACAGTGGAGAAAGGACAGCCTCTTCAATAAGTGGTGCTGGGAAAACTGAACAGGTACATGTAAAAGTATGAGATTAGATCACTCCCTAACACCATACACAAAAATAAGCTCAAAATGGATTAAAGACCTAAATGTAAGCCCAGAAACTATCAAACTCTTAGAGGAAAACATAGGCAGGACACTCTATGACATAAATCACAGCAAGATCCTTTCTGACCCACCTCCTAGAGTAATGGAAATAAAAACAAAAATAAACAAATGGGACCTAATGAAACTTCAAAGCTTTTGCACAGCAAAGGAAACCATAAACAAGACCAAAAGACAACCCTCAGAATGGGAGAAAATATTTGCAAATGAAGCAACTGACAAAGGATTAATCTCCAAAATTTATATGTAGCTCATGCAGCTCAATAACAAAAAAACAAACAACCCAATCCAAAATGGGCAGAAGACCTAAATAGACATTTCTCCAAAGAAGATATACAGAGTGCCAACAAACACATGAAAGAATGCTCAACATCATTAATCATTAGAGAAATGCAAATCAAAACTATAATGTGATATCATCTCACACCAGTCAGAATGGCCATCATCAAAAAATCTAGAAACAATAAATGCTGGAAAGGGTGTGGAGAAAAGGGAACCCTCTTGCACT